CATGTTATGGTAGTTCTTGGTCAAGGGCGGATCCAATGGAGGGGGCCAGGGCCCCCCCCCCAAACTTGCCACCATAAGCTTCAATTTTTTATATTTAAATTTTAATTTAAAAACCATATGACCTAAAGTTTTTTAAATAAACACATTAGAATTCTTTTCGAATCACACTTATTAATACAAATCATACATATACCAAGAGATCAAAATAATTTGTAAGCGAGTCATTTTTGGATCCGAAAACGTAGAGTTGCAGAATGAAAATTTCGGGAAGTACTGTCATTTTCATAATGTAAACTCTAAAACAACCTTTATATTAATCACCTCATTTTTTACTCTTCTCATATTTATGTCATTTTGACTTATTTACTTTCAAAAATAGTGATTTATTGTGGCATAATAACGGGTAGTCAGCAGATCAAAGCGATGATTTAATTACACTTAGTTCAATTAATAAATTTCCTAAGACAGACAAATTGTTTAATTAACAAATTTAACAACAAAAAAAAAGTTTAATTGTCAAATGTTAGTCATGATGACAGTAAAAGGTAGTTTATAGTGAACTTTTTAAAGTGACAGAAAAATAGATACTGCTTGAATTTTTAATTTCGCAACTGTACGTACAGTGATGGACAGTGAATTTCGTCCACTCAATTTCCCTAACAGTTTAAAAGTGTAAACTAGTCTTTAAGTTTTCCTAACCTTGTTTCAGAATTTTGATTAACGTTTGTCATGTTGATAGAATGCTCGATGCTTCTTGCTACCTTTGTCCTTTGAAATTGTAGTCCTTTTGGTAGGCCAAAAGTATAGAGACACGTCTTTGAGACATACCTTCTTGTACCATTATTAAACTTACTGTTGGCATGTTCGAATTTGATTAAAAATTTGACAATACGTATTTGAATGTCAGTTATCATGACAATAAAGCACAGACTACAGTGAATTTTTATGAATTCACAGAAATTGGGTGGACGAAATTCACTGTCCCTCACTGTATGTCTCTTTTTGAACTAACTACACGTGAAACGTCAAATAAAATGACAAGTCGAAAACGGCAAAATGGGCTGGAATTAGTCGCTGACGTATAATAATAAGACTGTTCTTTTTGAAGGTAAATCATAAATTTAGTTATCTTTTTAATCATCACTTGTCATTTTATTTTATTATTATTTTTAAAGTTGCCACAAGGGGTTTAAATCAGTCAGTAACCTGCGATGCCATGAGAGGATACATACAAAAGTACGAAAATAAACACCACTGAAGAAATAATACTTTATTTGTTACAGAGTAAGCCGTACATTTGCAAATTTTGCTCGAAACCGTTTTCCCAGTCGTCCAACTTGCGCACCCACGAAAAAATCCATTCGGGGACACGACCTCATATGTGTAAATGTGTAAATCAAGTTAAAAATTTTCTATTTTTTAAAAAGAAAATTGACCTGTTCGAGCATTTTTCCAAAACAAAATATTTTCAATTTTAATAAAGATTATTCTATAATTTTGCCGCTCACTGTATACCCTATCATTCTAAAAATTTTTCGATAGCCCCCCCAAAATTAATTCCTGGATCCGCCCCTGTGGTATGTCCAAAAGTATAGAGACACGTCTTTGAGACATACCTTCTTGTACCAGAGAGATAATTTTTATTTTATTAAACGCATGGTTGAATTTGATTAAATTTGACAATACGTATTTGAATGTCAGTTATCATGACAATAAAGCACAGATTACATTGAATTTTTGTGAATTCGCGGAAATTGGGTGGACTAAATTCACTGTCCATCACTGTACTATCGGCGTCAAAAAAATGAAAACACCAACATAAAGCAAGTATTAATTTTTTTAAGGTTTCAATTTCTGCAATCAAGTCTTTCCTGTCATGTTGACGTTGAGAAACTACATGTATACTACATGTCACAATATGTGTGAGGTAGTTTCAGAAAATGTTACAGATTTGTTTAATTACTGAGGTAGAACAGTTGGTCTTTTCTTATTAGATCAGTACTACACGCCTGTGATATAATGACATAAAAAAAACAGTTTAGAAAATACAAAAACTGATCATCTCTTTTTTTGATGACCATAGTACCACGGCCCACAGTGGTCTGAGACGGGAAAAACTTAGATTTTCTAGGGAATCAAATATGTTTAAAAAGTTTTTAGTATCAAAACCCTGCATATTAATTTACCTATAACCGTGAGAAGTCGTCATACAATAAACTGCATGTTTTCATGATCGCTTGGTTAAAAGACATATTTTGTGTGTGTTTTGTTAAGTTTTGCAAAATTGTTCCAGTTGTATTAGGTTCATGTACATTTAAAAAAGTTAAAAATAAATTGGAAATTTGGAAACAAGTTTTTTCAATCACAACATGCGTCAAACTGGGACTTATTAGAAACTGTTTTTTACACTCTGTGTTAACGATTAAAAGAAAAATCAGCTGCGTACCTGCGTAAACCTGCGAGTTTGGTAATAAAAATATCTAATTCTTTGAAGTAAAATAGATACAAACAAGATTTTCTTCTTAGTAATGGTAATTCAAAGACTTATTTTTTTTAGTATATTTTTTTTCTAAATTTGTATGCAACGGTAAAAAATAATTTTAATAATTACAAACAATGATTGTTTCAAGCTTGGTTTTACCACCTATTCTCATATTAAATTAACAAGTACATACAGGGTGTCAATTTTAAAACTTGCAATCACCAATATCTTTAGAACTAAAAAAGTTATTGAGAGTCACTAAAAACCATTTCGGTGGTTTTTAGGGGGAATCAAAATGGCGTAGTAAGTGACGCTCCTCCACCCACCCTTCAAGCCACAGCCACCTTAAGTTGAAAATTTTAAATGGCACGACCCTACTTGCGATACATCGTTGGAAAGCTCATAACAAGGGCTTTTCAAAAATGTCATACAACAGCTTATTTGGTAAAGCCATTTTTTCAATTATTCAAAAACGAAGACGTTAAATTTTCATTTTTTTTATTATATTCAAGGGTGGGTGGAGGTGTGTCACTTATCATGTCATTTCAATTCTCCCTAGGAACCACCAAAACGGTTTTGAGTGATTATTAATAACTTTTTCAGTTGAATGAGTTTTAAAATTGACACAGTGTATAACATAAAAACGGTTGTTTGCAAAAAGTTGTATTTAGTCTAGACATACATTTTAGAGTTCATATTTCTTTTTTTTTTCTCTTTCTGTAAAATTTGAAATAGCACCTCTAATTTTTAAGGGCCAGTTTTGTAATCCAATTTAAAGAAGCTTTAAATTAATATTGCTTAGAATGTGCTGATTACTACGGACTTGTTGACAAAAATTTCACAATCTAAACCAACATTAACTTTAAAGTCTTGAACTATCAATAGCTATTTGATATTTTTGTCAATTCTAATGTTTATTTTATTTTCGTTACCATTAACATTATTTTACTAAGGTGTTTTGGGCTAAAACTCTTAAGAACAATGCATACCATCCTGTTAACAAGAATGTCTCAACTTTGCGAACATTCTATATGTTATTTAGAGTAAATAGTAAAAGTGAGTTTATGTAGCTTAGCTCAGTTATTTGCCTCATTGCTTTTGGCAAGATAAACGTTCAGCACATAAACATAAACTATCACTTTTACTCTTAATAATTCTTAATAACATATTACATTATTATAACGAGTGCTTTTTTTTAATTTGGCGTCAAAGCTATCCATGAAAGTTCGATTGTGAACGAACCATTCTATTAAAAGTTATTATTCTGACATACGCTTGCCGGGCGTATTAAAAATTGTGGTCCGTTCACAACACACTCATATCACCGCCAACTATGATGCCAAATTTAAATAAACAGCCGTTACTAATATTACTAACTACAGTATCTAAAATACAGTTTTTGCGGACGAATTGTTTCAACTTACTTACACAAAAATCTTTTTCAAAGTCTACAAGTGATATCAATGTGGAAGATGCAATTCCTAATAATTATTTATGGTTATTTGTATTGATTTGATTTGAATTTTTATTACGTGTTAGCTTATAGAAAAGTATTTTGAGAATATCTTATAAAATATGTGAAAAATTATTTTGTTTTGACTAAATGGAATTGTTAGTTTTTCTAAAATTATTTCACAAAATTTGTAAAAGTAAAGTATTAGATGGGAAATGAGAAGTGCTTTCTAACGGTGTCAAACTTAAATGACTGATAATTTTAGAATTATTTGCGAATATTTGTTTCATGTTCCAACCAAAAACCGAAATAGTATAAAATTTTAAAACTGGACCAAAGCATGTCTTTTCACTTATGTCTTAATAAGAATCTTCTGAACCTGGAAAAACTGTATAAAATATCTCGATCAAATTAAAAAAAAATTATTTGAATCTTTGAAGATGTAAATCTTTCAAAAAATAACAGTCCGAATATAATGATTAAACCCACCGATCTTTCTGACCGAACATGCATTATGCATTGTTTTTTAAAAGTATCTCATGGTTGTACTTGTATGTATTTACTAAAAGAAATGGGTTTACAAATACAGTAAACCTTTGAAAACAGAAAAAAAAACAATCAGAATCTAGTTGGCAGCGTGGGGTAGTATTGGCGACATCTATGAAGCAATGTTAAAACTGACAAAAAAATATTTAGTGATGTTTTAATAAAAATATAGTTATTGTCTAACATACAAACAGTTAGTATCTATTGTAAGTTCATTATGTAATGCGACAATAAAACCATGTATAAAATTATTGGTGTTCTAGATATCTGTACAGATAGAAATATTCTCATTTGGTGACCTGAGACAGAGATGGCAGTATATTTGTGAGACTTTTGTTGGTAGTTTAGATTTCTTCAACAAGTTTTACCTTTTAATATCACAAATAAATTAAGAATGATAATCATCATCAAGTTATAAAATACGATAAAACACAATATCAACTTTTGAAGGTAAGCTTTCCATTTTATTAATTCCCACTCGTCATTTGTTGACATAACCTAGAAAGAGGGGATGACAGCTCCAGCTCCTCATTTTTTGCACAGTACAAATTTGACAGTCGAAATAATCATTTGTTGAAATTAACTCTCAAAACGCAAATAACCGTTGTAATGTGTGCGGTGTCACGTTCTTTGTTCAAACTTAACGTAACCACGATGGCAAAAAAGTGCACGTTTTGAATAAAATCCCGGCGAAAATGTCTCTGAGTCAGTGCCTCGAGAACGCAGACAACCAGTCCCTACTATGGAAGCAAATCTTCTCGGCCCTCTTCTACGGCATCGCCTCGTTCATGATAACCGTCGTCAACAAAACCGTCCTCACGACCTACCAATTCCCTTCATTTCAAGTACTCGGAATTGGGCAGATGATAGCCACCATTACGGTCCTTCTAACGGCGAAGAGACTCCGAATCGTCACGTTCCCCAGCTTCGAGTTGAACACTTTCGGGAAGATTTTTCCCTTGCCGTTGATTTACATCGGGAATATGATTTTTGGACTTGGGGGTACCAAGCAATTGAGTCTCCCGATGTTCACAGCCCTTCGCAGATTCTCAATTTTGTTGACTATGATTCTAGAGTTGTACATTCTAGGAATTAGGCCGAGTTTCAGTGTACAGTTTAGTGTCTACACTATGATTCTGGGGGCTGTCGTGGCCGCCAGCAACGACATTGCGTTCAACCTCCAAGGCTATATCTACGTCCTTTTGAACGACTTCTTCACAGCCACAAATGGAGTGTACATGAAGAAAAAACTCGACTCGAAAGAATTGGGCAAATATGGACTCATGTTCTATAATTCTCTCTTCATGATAGTCCCTGCAGTGTTTTTCGCGTTTTACACTGGCGATTTGGATTCCGCCTATAATTACAAATATTGGAATGATGCTCTTTTCCTAACTCAGTTTTTTATGTCGTGTATTATGGGCTTTGTGTTATCGTACAGTGTTGTGTTGTGTACTTATTACAATTCGGCATTAACAACTACGATTATCGGCTGTTTGAAAAACATCTGTGTTACTTATTTGGGAATGGTGATTGGGGGCGATTATATTTTCTCGTGGGTCAATTTCGTCGGAATTAATATCAGTGTTGTGGGTAGTTTGATCTACACCTATGTTACATTTAAGAAAAAAGACGCTGCACCAGCTTACGTGCCACTAGTTAACGAGAAATCGACTAAACTCGACAATGTTGTATAGTATAAGATTTGTTAGGATTTATTTTTTATGACAGGGTTTAGATTGAACAAACACTATGACTCGTGAAGATATTGTAAAAATACACAATTTATTTTGCCAATTTTACTATTTTTGGTATAAATCGACTCTTGCCATATATGAAACAGTTGCAAGTGTTGTCAAAATTAGTAAAAATGTCACCAAACTGTATAATTATACAGTATGTGCCCGGATCGAGTTTACAAGAGGAAAAAAATCTTTGATTTTACACTAAAACTACGAAGGAAAAACATTTTTTGCTTCATCTGAAACGAGCAAATCTGTAATTAAAACTTCATTATTTTGATTCTGTGAAAAGAAAAGTTAATTTTTTTCTTGATTTTCGAGAATAATTTTTCTCTGCTTTTTAAGTCCTATCACATTGGGGGTCTTATTTATTTGATAACTATGCCACTTTGACAATTTATTAATTAAATTGTTAAAAATTACTTTGGTTTTTATTTTAAAGCTGTTTGAGTTGCTTTTTATTAAAATTATGTTTTTCACAAATATTTTTGTAATTTAACTTGCGTAAACTCACTTCTCAAAGTGACATCGTTGTCAGAAAAGTAAAACCGCCAATGTGATGAGATTTAAAACGAAGAGAACTGAGTTAGAATAATGAACTTTTAATTACAGATTTGCTTGTTTCATGTAAAGCAAAAAATATTTTTCCTTTGCAGTTTTGGCGTAAAATCAAAGATAAAGATTGTTTTCCTCTTGTAAATTCAATCCCGGGACATACTGTGTATTCGACTATTTTTTCAGAACTAAGTAAATAAGTCAGTGCCACACGTATAAAGTGATGCGTGATCAATAAGTACGGAAAACAAACAAAAATGACCGCACGAAATGTTTCAATGTAAAAATGGTCGGAAATAATTGACAAATTTGATATTACTACTTGAAATTTTAAAAATTTTGACAGGCCCGCCATTTTGTTACTTGTAGCAGTAAGAGAAAATTTATTCTCTAGAAGGCAGTGAAATGTCATTTGCCAATGTAAATTATATGAAAAAAAAAAAAAAAACAAAGTCAAAGCCTTTTCGAGGGTATAGGGTATGGTGTTGTAGAATCAGTGTAAGTTTTTTAACTTTGAAATTATTACACAAATGCTGAATTTCAAATGGTCTTAACTGATCGACTTTGACGATACTAGTTGTCATTTTTGACATTTTTGATGAATTTTGATAATTGACATTGATGACAACCAAAACACACGATGACATTTTTCTAATATTATTGGACTGACTAATTTGGTTCTCGCAATTGTAGCAATAATAATTTTTTGTTTTTGTAGTATGTAATTTTTAACCTTGGAATTATTGGAAAGATAACTGATTATTATATGTCAATTGTAATAAAAAGTTTTTAATTACCAACTGATATACTCGAAAAAATATGGGTTTTAAATATTTTTTGTGTTTGTTAATATTTCAGAGTCAACGGAAATACCATTATTGTCGTGTAATGGTGGAAAAAAATATTTTATCTACGTATGTTAAATAATAATGTTGTTATAGGCGTATTTATAGACATATAATTTAGTTCACATTACACACCGTGGAATATAAATACATATTTCATGACTAATATTCCAGGAGTGGAATCTAAAGTCATATTCTAAGACTCTTTATGGCCTTTCTGTTTGAACGCCATTTTAATTTTTATTAATTAAATTGAAACGTCGACTTTGTCAATACCAAAAATCGAAAATATTTTATAATCGTAGATAAAGCATAGTACTTTACTTGTGTATATTGGCTATTTATTCACTCACTCGTCTACGACTCGTTTTTTAAACTTCATTTTTGTGAATAATAGCCATGATAATATGCTCGTTGAATCATATACTATTAGTATTTGAAGTTTTGACCTGAATATTACAATTAATTGTTAGGCGACGTTTCGGCGTGGTTTATTCCTTCTTCAGATCTTCAAATAGATTTGCTTAATTTTTGTTCAGTAAGTTGTTCTTTTCGTTATTGCTAAGTACTCTCAATGTTGAAATTATACATAAACTCGTGAAAATATTAATTGACACACTAACTTTTGAAAAGCTGGTAAATTTGGTCCAATAAAAATTGAATTCGGTAATAAATTAATTCGAACTAAGTTGTCATTTACTTTACATTGTCAAGCGTCAAATTAATATTGAATTACAATTTTATTGCAAACATTCTGTAAACCGTCTCTTAAGTTTTTAAAGTTGTATAAATGCAAAAGTAAATTTTGAATTAAAAGTTGGTAAAAAAGTGGTCTTTTTTCAAACGAAGGTTCATTAGATACAATTTATTTTTCAATTTAGGTACATTTTATTTTTCACCAGATGTCAGTTAAAGTTGGTAATTTTTTTATTACTAAACCAACTTGACAATAATAAAGACCATTTCAAGTTCACCAAACATTTATTTCTGAGCATAGTTATTGACAATGTACATTTCGTGGCAATGCGCTTTTTGCTTTTTTAATTAAATGTTGGATTAAAGTGGGTTATGGATCTGATATTAAGTTGGCAACATTGAGTAATATTTAGACATCAATTTTCACAAATCTCCTATAGCTGTGTTATTTAATGTTGCTAACTTAGTTTTAGAATCACAGGTTTCTTTGATCAGACATTTAATTGAAGGCTGGATAACTTTTTGTAGTCTTGTTACTATTATTGTCTTTTATTTACATGGGCTTTTAGACACATGCACTCTAAAAAAATGAAAATGTCAAAAGGATATTTATCAAATATCGTGTGTAGAAAATGTTTCAGTATTAAAAAAATGCTTCGAAAAGTTTAACATTATTGATCAGTTTGTTATTTTTCGGTAAAAATAGTTGTTAGTGGCCAGTAAGTAATTCAAACAAGATTTACTTTAATAACAACTTATAGATACTTAGAAGTTTCAGTTTATGCTTGTGGCACTTAAAAATTATTTTTTATTTAAAATAAACACTTGGTGACTTTTAATACATTTTTGTCATTAATGAAATACATAAAAACCTAGATTAGAGACGATTTTTTATCACGTACGTAATTTTGTGACGTAGTTTTATACTTTAGTTTTAATTTCAAAATGTCACCTTGGATTAAACTATAGCACAATTTATCTAAAAACTATTTTTTATGGTCGCGTTTGTCAAATTATTTATTGCGATTATAAATATCGATAGTATATCTAAAAGTACTAAAATTAAAGCTTCAGTGATATGATTTTGGACCGTTGAACCGGCTTAAAATCATCCGGCTAATAGTGCCATCAATTCTGTACTGATTATTTAGTTAGTTTAAATTTAATTAATATTACCAAAGTTTTATCTCTTTAACCATATGATATACCAAATTCAGTTGCAATGTCGATTCCTGTGATTTTAATGTCGTTAATAAATAGATAAACTTTATTTTAATCGAATCGTTTCATTGACCCTTATTCATTTCCAGATGCTTCGATTAAGTAACAAACTTAAATTAAATCAAAGTCGCCAAATAAGCACGAGTTTTGAGAAATTCGAAACTGATTTTCATAAAAATCACATTCCGATCAATGACTTCCAACGAGGACTCCTCGCTATGGGATCGGCATTGATGTCATTAGTTGATCCCTTTCGACATGACATGATCGCCTGTTTGGGAGAAACCGCAGGTAATTAATTACTTGCTAATTAACACACTTAAGTAATTGTTAAGGAATGTCCGCTATCAATTATATGAAGCAAAAAATGGAGAATTCACCAGAAGGCTCCGAGATTCTCAAATTACGTCCTAGGATCAACTCAAAGACTGTCGACATAAACAAATTAAAAACGTACCCTGAGGGTACTTTAGGTCGTGTTTATACACAATGGCTCGAGGATAATGTAATTATCTTTGTTGGTGTTTTTCGTATGATTTGTTGGTTTTATTGTAGAAAGTTACGCCCGATTCACGAATGGCCGTACAATTCGTCGATGACATCGATTGTGCGTACGTTTTGCAGAGGTATAGAGAGGCGCATGATTTATTTCATGCCGTTTTGGGAATGCCGACTCATATGTTAGGTGAGAGAATTAATATGAATTCTGCTTAGGTCATCACCAATCAAGGTTTGCAAAAATTCGATGATTAACTCGCAGTCAAACACGAATGTTGTTTGATGTTTTATGCGAATAATTGAGGTAAACAATATTAAAAAGTGTTGTTTTGGGATATTCATCATTAAAAAGTGTTTGTTACAGTGACGTAGTAAAATGAGCACGGCAAACGTTATGTTTTTTAAAGTCTGACATTGTAGTCCGGTCAAAATAAACATTTTAAATAACTAAAATTCCGACAGAGCTAAATTTTGGTGGAGATCTTGAGTACACCATTAGGAATAAAGTGTCAAAAGTCCCCATCGATCCCATGTGTGCTAAAAAAGTTATTCGGGGTCAAAGGTCGAAATTTGACGTTTTTTAGATTTTTTTCGAAAACGGTAAGTTTTATCAAAAAAGTAGCCCAGACAAAAAATATAGATCTTGAAATTATCTACAAAATGG